ACATTTAACTTCTCAATATTATCACCTCCCCCCGGCCCCCCACCCACAATCCTGTAACTAGCTGCGCATATACTATAGTGTTACACAAATGGTGGATTAACATCATCATATCTTCTTCATCTCTGAAAAATACATAGTGAGGCGATAAAAATATTTACTTGTGCCATTTTTATCTTCGACGCCTTTAAACGCTCCATTTTTTTGCAAGTCTATCGTAAGATTCGTTGCACCAAACGATATCGATTAATTCGTGTTGCGATTAATGTCGCTTCGCATACAATTGGAATATTTTATTTTTACAATCATTGTTTACGATGCATTAAGAGAGAACGTCCAACCGTTTTATCGCATTCGTTAGAAAACTCTAGTACTCACAAGCAAAGTTATAACTTTCTCATTCGGTATTGTTACAATTTTCCAGTCAGTCACACGAATGTAAAAATGTTTTCCTTTAGTTATATAAAGTAACTAATTATTAGACAATTTTTAAAAAACTTAATTTATGAATATCTTTATGTTTATGAAGAATTAAATAAATTTTAAATAATTGGAAATGTAATTAAAAAGAGAAGACTTCAAAATGCGTGTCCGAAATTTAAAATTTTCAATTCAATAAAATAAAATGTTAGGAGTATAATTATATAAAAATTAATACTACACAATTGGTGTATGAAATGATAAGGTATAATTAATGTAGTGTAAAATTCAATATCAACGCGGTAAGGGAAAGTTTTCTTCATCATAATATCTGGTATCGAACTCACTCGCGGGAGATTTCAATAGATTCAGCATGCTCCGGCTCCGACTCCGTCTCCGTCTCGTTATCACGTTGCGAGCTGCACAGGAAACATTGCGTAGGACCAAACAATATCTAGATCTAATCGAACAAATTCAATCGCGCGCAATGGCAAAATTGCGAAAAGTCTGCCGATAACTTGTAATATTTGAGATACAAATCCACAGAAGCTAATATAAAGCATACATTTAGAAATATGTTAATTTTTAATTCCAATTCTATTTTCTCCTAATCCCTCTTTTAAACTTTGTCTAATTTTTCTACCAATTTTATCGCCTTTTTTATTTAATTCTAATTCACAAAGAGATTTTAATTCTGTTTGACTCTTTTAGTCCCTTTGAAAAATAATGGCTTCAAAATGTTATTTTCTTAGATTTTTCCACAATATCTTTACTATTGGAATTTATGTATGTCGACCCTGGAAAAGGGCCTCTCTATTGACTAGGGCCGGAATTCGGAATTCAGAATCCGGAATGTCAGACTCTCTTAGAGCGTAACGATGCGTTTTCTTCCTAACAATATGTCAGGTAAATATAAGGTGCACGGAATGTTTTGTTTCAAGGATGAATTCGTTCCCTCACCTGTGTTACGACTGTCCCTCGCCCCAGGAATTACCGGTCGCACGATCTTTGATCCTCATACTTTTAAATTACAACGTTTTATTGTTAAAATGTTGATACAATGAGAATTTTACAATATAATTCATCATGGAAAACGACGAAATATATCCGCATAAACGTGAATCATATTAATACCATACAGATTGCTCGATCTCCTCGCGTTTTATTCAAAATTTACCATAACTCATCTGTGCAACGCTTTACAAACATTTCGATCCATTATAAATTTGGATCGAGGATCGAAACGATAATTATATTTGAGATTTACGTATAAAGATTATAGTCGTGAATGAAAATGTACGTGTGTATGTGTGTGTGAATTTATTAAAAAATTATTTCAGATATTTCTAGTAAAATGCAACTCGTGTCTAGACGCTTTCGCGATCCGCGCGTTGTCTGTGGCTTAGCGACGCTCGCACAGCGATGGCGACCGCGCGATGACTCGGGGGAATCTGACTCACCTGCTACGACGTGTCGCGACCGCATTTTCCGGCTCCAGATCTTTTTCGTCTCCTTCCTTTCGTCCTTCTCTTTTCTTTTTCACGCATTCAGCATTCTGACGCAAGATTCTTCTCTATTTTCTCGCTCACTTTTTTTATATCGCATTAAAAAGATTGCTTCCCGCTCCGAATTTTCTTTTCTGGCCTCCACTCTTTCACCTCTACACCCGCGCGCGCGCGCGTACACCAACTGACATCAACTTGGACCAACGACCAACGACCAACGAACAACGACCAACGAACAACGACCAACGACCGACGACCGACAACCGACGACCGACTACGAACTACGAACGCTCACCGAACGAAACTGCGGACTACTGCGGACAGCGCGGACGCGGAGTGCGGTGCGGACCGCGTTGCCGTCGTCGTTTCCGCCACCGCCACCGCCACCGTCATCGCTACCACCACCACTAGCATCACCACCGCTACCACTACCGGCCGGCACCACCACCACTATCACTATCCCCCGCTCCCGCTACCGTCACCCGCCATCCGCCACCCATCACGACGGCGTCAGGTCAGGCGTCAGGCGAGACGTCAGAGGGTCAGAGTCGGAGGCAGGCGATGGCGGAGGGCGGAGGTGGAGAACGCTGCCATCTCGCTCGGCCGCCTCGCTTCATCCCCTTCCTTTTGCTCACTACTGTAAAACATTACTCTGTGTGAGTTGGTATATATAATGACGGTTACCTGTCTGCCTACTTGCGCGCCAGATACGAATAAGCGAACAAACACGCCATTTTCTCAACTCTTATTGTTAACCGAAATGATACAAATGTCTTGCGTAACTCAAGAGCAAAAAGACGATTGAGATTTGTCTAAAAACTATATGCAAAAAGGAAGGAAGATTTGATCAAAGATACTGTATAAAAGCATTGTAAAAACAACAAACAACTAAATAAATATTACGAGATTAAAATTTTTTTTTTCTACCGCGACGATATCTTACTGTCCTCTATGAAGAAAATCGGTAATTAGCAATTCATTTACCGATGAATGGCGTTTGTTCACACCGGATATTTTCTCTCCTCCTGTTATTGAATTAACAAAGTATGAAACATTTAAAACGATGCAAACAATTATTACGCAATTAGATTAATTATTTTAGCCTTTTCTCATTTTTGGAACAGAAATACTCACATCATATGTATTTTACCAGTTTGAATATTTTATACAATCCCAAAACGCTGCTTATATATATATATATCGGTACGCGGACGGTATCTTTAAGTGCGGTTATCCCGGCCGCGCTAAACGCACAATCGATGCGGTTTTTAATCTATCGTGATTCGATGAAACCATCTACCACGATCTACCGTCGCGTTCGAATATCACCACCAAATGTTGTTCGTTGTTCGCTGTTCGCGCTTAAACGCAATGGCGCCATTTTACGCGGCAACTTTATGACACGATGGCGCCATCTTATGTCAGCAAGTCTAATCAAATATGGCGACATAAGCTGTCGCCATTGACCATACATATAAACATAGACATAGTATATTTAGACCGAGCGTTTGCATATAAACTTATGCTTGGTCGATAATCACATCAATGTCCGATATCCAATAAAAGAGCTTATTTCCTAGTGATTTTAACTAGCAATAATTTTGAGATCTAGAAACAAAAGTTTTCTATTGGATACGATATTGTATGTTCGAATATCCGAACGTAGGGTGGAAGTCTTCTTCCCTCGTCGCAGAATATACTCCATCTATGAATTTTATTATCTATGTTGAGGCAATCTGAAAGCTCGAGGTTTGAGTCGCTGCCGCTGCCACGAAAATGTTAGCTTGCTCAAGCTCGCTGACTGTTGGTGATAATTCACGTTCGGTCTATAGCGCTTGTGTAAACTAGCTTTTCGTCTCGTGCTATCGAGACGATCGACCGCGTTTTGCTCGGCCTGCGAGCAGGAGCAGGTGAGTGAGAGAGTGGACGCACAACGCACGCTCATTGAACAGCTCGTATTCGGCTCGTATCGTCGATCGCCGATCTGTTAAAAGCAAGCAGGTTAACTGCATTCTGCTGTCGCAACATCTTGTCCTGTTCTATCTTCCTGTCCCTGTCCTCTCTTTATGATATTAGCCCCGAGCATTAGACGCAGATTAGTATCTCTGTGTGCCTTTGGCAGTCGATAGCGATTTGATGACCATCGGATGAAATTCCGCTTTCATTGCACCTGTCAAGTGCACTTTCTAATGTATGACTCATACTGCTGCTGATGGTGTAAAAAATTGGAATGCCACTCTAGAGAATATTTTTAGTTTATTAACAATAAGAATTCGCGATCATTTTTAAGTGATTTTGTATCTGTAATGAGTAGAATTGTAGATAAGAGCATGGTATAGTTTATTATTTTATAATTAATATAATATTATAATTAATATATGCAAAGAGAGAGAGAGATAGAGAAAAAATGTGTCATGTAAATAAAATTAAAAATACAAGTGTTTCAGATTGATTAAGACAATGAATTTATACACTTTTCAATGTGTGTATCACTCTATGATAATAAGATTGATTGGTATTAATTATAATGTGTAATATAAGTGTTAAACTATGTTAAAATTAGTAATTAGTTGTTGAAAGATATTAAATTATAATCACTTTTTTATATAATTACATTAATAATATTTTTTGTCCCAACAAATTCATTTTCTTTCTGTATATGTATTATTATATAGCTATTATTTCTTTTAGTTAATAGTTAAATGTGTTTGTTACGCTTATTTCAATAAGAAGAAAAAAAAGTTCCATAACACTAGAATTATATTAAAAACAGACATCACATTTAAATATATGGAATAATAGTGTAATAATTTGTGTTCATAAAAAGAACAAACGTTACAGAATGATGGACGAACCACTGAACCAAGGCGCTTCACCGTCTAGCGGTGGCAACTTTTCAGCAGGTGGTAGTGGTGATCTCGATTCGTCTACCATAATGAGCCTGGATGAAAGGATATTGGACATCACATCGCGACACACCTTAAATGTTCTCAGGACACCACCCACTAAAAAGGCCAAGAGAGTCCGATTTTTCCGCAATGGAGACAAATATTACACAGGCGTGGTAATGGCAGTGACGCCAGAAAGATATCGCAGCTTTGACAGTCTTGCATCTGATCTGACACGTGCCTTGGTGTCGAGTGTAACCCTACCGAACGGTGTTCGTGCGATCTATACCATGGACGGCCGTAAAGTACAGAGCGTCAGCGACTTGGAGGATGGCAAGTGCTATGTGGTATCTGGCCAAGGTGAGATCTTCAAGAAGGTTGAGTATTCGGCGTCCAAGGTCCGTCGAGGGAGCTCTTTGTCTGGATTACCGCAGTCGCCAGCGGCTAGCGGTAGCGGCGTTGGCACCGGCAGGCAGATCAGTGCCATTCCGCTGTGCGTGAAAGCGCGCATCGTAACGCTGATCCGCCACGGTACCAAGCCGCGTAAAGTGATGAGACTGTTGCTGAACAAGCGTAATGCGCCGAGTCTTGAGCATGCAATGGAGGCGATTACAGAAGCAGTGAAACTTGACTCTGGGGCGGTAAGGAAGGTGTACACATTGTCGGGTCAGCAAGTCACTTCGCTCGAGCAATTTTTCGACAGCGACGACATCTTCGTGGCGTATGGTCCGGAGAAGTCTATACAGGAGGACTTTGAGCTAGACTTTGAGGAGAGTAAGTGCGTGCAGAGTTTTCGACGATGTCCGTGGAGTTCTAAGCGACAGAGCGGCCCGATGCCACGTATGCCGAGAAAATCTGGCAAGAAGATGCTCACTACGCCTCAAGTCAGGACTCCCAGTCCATCATCTTTGATACTGCCCCAACCACTGAGGCTACACTACACTGTGGGGCATGTTATTGGAGACGGAAACTTTGCTGTCGTTAGGCATTGCATTCATAAGTGAGTATATAATATGATATTGGGTTGAACGGAAAGTTCATGCCGTTTTCATTTGTTAGCAAAAAATGGAACGAACTTTCCGTTCAACCTAAAATATACAATATGTAATATAATATATAGGCACTTTTTTTTATATAAATTATAAAACCTTTCATTTAAACTTAGAAGAAGGTATATATAATAATTACTTTACAAGTGATAAATAATTATATATGATATGTGTGAAAGAATTTAATAGAGGGAGGGGGGTGAAAAAATATCCTGATTAATATAAAAGATAATTTAGTATTATTAATTTAGTATAATTTATCTTAAATTCTCTTTATTATCTTAGTTAGGCATTGCATTCATAAGTGAGTATATAATATAATATTGGGTTGAACGGAAAGTTCATGCCGTTTTCATTTGTTAGCAAAAAATGGAACGAACTTTCCGTTCAACCTAAAATATACAATATGTAATATAATATATAGGCACTTTTTTTTATATAAATTATAAAACCTTTCATTTAAACTTAGAAGAAGGTATATATAATAATTACTTTACAAGTGATAAATAATTATATATGATATGTGTGAAAGAATTTAATAGAGGGAGGGGGGTGAAAAAATATCCTGATTAATATAAAAGATAATTTAGTATTATTAATTTAGTATAATTTATCTTAAATTCTCTTTATTATCTTAGTCCCAGAGATATTTTCTTCAACTTAGTTGCTTAATTTAAGAAAAATGTATATACAAAATATGTCGATGATATTTTAGATCTACTGGTGCTGAATATGCTATGAAAATTGTGGATAAATACAAGTGTCAGGGCAAGGAGACGATGTTAGCAAGTGAGGTGGCGATCCTGAGGCAAGTCTGCCACCCCAACATAATCAGCTTAATTGCGGAGCAAGAGACTGCTGATCAGCTATTTTTAGTCATGGAACTTGTCAAGGTGCGTTATCGAAATTAAAAGAAGCTAATGGAGCTTAAATTTAATTCATGTTTAACTTAATTTAATTCAATTTAATTAATATACACGACATTGACATAATAATTAATGTATAGGAAATGTATAGAAATTATATATATTATTAATGCTGTTTGCTTTTTAGGGGGGAGATTTGTTTGATGCAATCGCAGCTGCGACGAAATTTTCTGAAGCAGAGGCAAGTGTGATGATTGGTCATCTGACTTCCGCCTTGGCTTATTTGCATTCTCATCACATTGTACACCGCGATGTTAAACCAGAAAATCTCCTAGTTGAAATGGATGGTAGTCACGTTAGATGCTTAAAACTGGGCGACTTTGGACTTGCGCAAGTCGTGAGAGAACCTTTATACACGGTTTGTGGTACTCCCACTTATGTGGCACCGGAAATTCTCGCCGAAACCGGATACGGTTTAAAGGTATATTTATTTGTTTTAATAAAATCACTAATTAAGAATGACGAATAAAATTATCAAATTATTGCTTTCTAAATTAATTCAATTCAACATATTTTTCATATGTAAGAGATATTTACTTGAAAAGAAAAGAATATAGATTTTTGATTCCGCAATCTAAACATATTATGTATTATTTAGTGCATAGTAGATTAGTCTTTTTTTTTTACATTTCATATCCAAAATAAATCTTACTTATTTTCAGATTGATGTATGGGCGGCCGGTGTGATTCTGTATATTCTTCTATGTGGCTTTCCACCTTTTGTATCGGTAGAAAACGAACAGGAGGAACTGTTCGAACGTATTCTGAGCGGCCAGTACGAATTTACGTCACCATACTGGGATACGGTGTCAGATTCGGCGAAGCAATTAATTTCGAACATGTTGCAAGCACAGCCGGAACTTCGCTTCAGTGCCGAGGATGTGTTAGATCATCCGTGGCTTGCGGTAACTATCACTAGTGTACAATATTATTTTTTATTGTTTCTTACGAGTTAGAAAAATCAATCCTACCGCGTTGCCTATATCCCCGCATGGCTTAAAATTTTTTTCTCATTCTCTCGCAGTAACCAAAAATAAGATAAATATGGGGTAATTTTTGTCTTTATAAAACATTTGCTATCGCATTTATTATTTTGAGCACGATTTCTTTAACTTTCGCCAGCTCGTTACATCACGCTACATGAAAAGATGAGAGACAGCATATCTGATTACATATATCATTTTTTTTTTAAATAATTTTTAAATGATAAGATGCATATAAATTTATACTTTTAATCAAGTATATATATATATATTCTTTATTATTATATTGCAACATGCTGTATATAATAATATCACCTATGATCAATTTTTCAATTAAATTCTCATTTGAAAAATTTAATTATTTCGAAAGCGATGAATGTTTTTATTGCACAAAAATGGCATTTCTTATGGACCATGTAATATATGTTATATAAATGTGTGTGATGTGCACACATACACGGCCTGTCCCAAAAGTATCCGAACTGTTTTTCTACAGAGGATATTAGTAGCGCTATCTGTTTAATTAAGGTCATGCTGTCTTTGTAGAAGCTTCGTTAAAAATTCTGCTAAGTTTGATCGAGATCCCACTAACATCTGATTTATAGGTATAGAAGTGAAGTTATCTCGAAGGTTATAGTTATCTGATCTACGAAGACAGCGTGATCTTGATTAAACAGATAGCGCTACTAATACCGTCTATTCGAAGTTCGGAAACTTTTGGAACAGACTGTGTACTTCACACACACACACACACACACACACACACACACACACACACACACACACACACACACACACACACACACACACACACACACACACACACACACACACACACACACACACACACACACACACACACACACACACACACACACACACACACACACACACACACACACACACACACACACACACACACTATATTTTTTAGAAATAGATTTAATCATCTATATATAAATATAATTATTCGAGAAATTTTTTCGCTCGCTCTCTCTCTCTCTCTCTTTCTAAATTCGTCATTTTGAAATTTTCTCTGCTTTATGCTGGGCGGGATTTTTATGTTACGAGCGTGGTGTGAGCGAAAACCTATCCGCCGCAATTTCCCTCGCACTTCGTCAGCTTCATCTCAATTACAAGACTAAGGAAGCTTCCGTAGTGGTTTGCTGTATCTGTAGCAGTGCTTTTTCTTTTCTTTTGCCCCGCCTCTGTATATCAGCAGAGCTTTCTAGGAGGCGAGCAGACCGCAGCAGCAACAACCACCGACGCATCGACGGAGCAACACCGGTATCAGCAGTGTAAGCCGATAAGGTTGGCTACCTTTGAGTTCGACTTTAAAAAGCAGCGCAATCAACGGCAGGAGACCGATCATGTCAAAACAAGAGTTGAATGGAAGAACGTCAATCATCGCGACGCACTGGAGCTTATCGACATCTCGAGAAGGCAAGATAAACAGGATTGCGACGAAATCGACTTCGCCAATGGCAATCACAGCGAGGATGAGCCGGTGTTCCTTAGTTTTGACTGTCTGAGAACCATTCACAGCTTAAGCCGATCGATGCACGATCTGATAGATAATTTGAATGATAATAGAATACCACGATGTCGTCTCAAGTCGCAAAGCGCTACTTCTTCGCTCAACAGCATTTCGGAAAATTTAAACACGTATAATTATCATAGCAGTTTGTCGACTCGTTGCGATGAAGTTACCATAAAGACTGCCGCAACTCCCATTAATCATCGAGGCGACGAAAAAAATGAAAACTCATCGAAGGAAAAAAAACATCTCGACTTGAACTGCGAGACGCCCAAGTCGTCGAATAAATTTGCCTCCGCGAATCGACAAAGTAAATGCAATAGAAAAAACTTGTGCGATATGAATCGCGATGATAGCGAGAGCAGGTTTAATGACGACTTTCGCAACAGCAACATAACTGTGTCAACATCGAGCGATAGCTTAACCGGTGACAGTTCGACTGGCAACGATATCGAGACTTCCGACAGTTTCGTAAACATTCAGTTCGCGCGTTTGGCACGCGGACAAAAGTCAAGCTCGACGCAAAGTATGGAGTCAACTGATAGCTTCGAGAATGTGAGTTTTCGATACGCGCACCAAAATAACTGTCTTGTGAATCGTCCTTTGCAAATTTCTTCGCAACTCACAGTTAATCAGGATCAGACTAAATCTGCCGCGAAGATATTACAGACCCGAATACAATATTCAACTGCGCTGAATGCGTTGAGGTCACCCAAACTGGACATTCAGCCTGACAAAAAGACGTGCAACAGTCTGAGAGTTCAAGAAACAGACAAATGCGTGAAGAACGAACCGGTAAAACTGCGGCATGAAAGATATATCAATAGGAAAAACCCGATAGATTCCAGAAATGTCAGAAGCAAGAGATACAGCTGCTACTCATCATGCGCGACAAAAAGATCACCTGAAGAGGTGCGCGACGGCGACAAAGTTACGACGCGAAAATTTAGTTCAACGGATGAATTGCGCGATGAAGTGAGGCAGAAGACAACGACGAGGTCAAAACGATTCAGTTTATTCTACACGCCGCAGCCATTAAGGAAGATGTACGAGGGCGAGGCAAAAACTGGGAGGATCGCGTGCAAGTCGGTGAATTGCGCCCAGAAGTCTGAGAGTAAGAGGAGGGATGCAGAAGAAGCAGAGAAGGAGAGATTAGATAAGAACCGAAGATCGGTGATTGACGCTTCGACGGTCGCTAGCAGAAGCAAATCCAACAGGCAGAATGTTCATGTGAGGCCGAGTGCTTTAGTAAATACAAACAGGACAAAGTGATGACGAGTAAAGTGGTAAAGAATTAAAGTGATTAGTGCCGAGGATGTTTAATCACTGATACGCGACAGAGTCCAAAGTTCAATGTAATTGCTTTAAAAATGAAGCATCAATTGCAATGGTAATGTTGATTAAAGCAATTGAAACTGGTCAGTGTTCTCCGGCGCAAGGCGACCGGAAAGGCAAGTCTCGTCGAAATTGAAGATTATCTTTCTAATTATATGTATATGCGCGTCGAGAAGTTTTGCATTGCTTTAAATTCTATTAAAATGCATCTGAAATTATGGGAAAGTAACTAAAGTAAAATTTGGCGCAGAAATAAACAATCTATCAAATCTATTTAATCTTTTGAGTCTCACAATTCTCAGAGATTTTATATCTTCAAATATATAAATATCAACAAAAAGTACTGCAAAAAAGTATTGCAAAATTATAAGTTTTCAGAAAAATTGTTTGCACAATATAGTTTCTTTTTCTTCTTTAGTTATGGTAAAGAAGCAAAATATTAAATAAATATCAAACTACACAAAAGATTCAAAGGTTACAATATCTGTTAGGGATATTTTCTTCGATAAAATAGAGAGCATTGTAAAATGATTATAACTGAAAGAGAGAGGATATAGTTCTACAAAATATAGTTATAATATTTTTTATTGATTCTATTTGACACAGAAAAAGATCTTCAATAGGTAATATACATATATAACATGGAATAATTTGAGTGTAAGACTTTTTAAATGCGCATATATTTTCCATAGAATTCCTGTTGCTGTTGAAAGCTAAATAGCTAACAGAGACCAAAGACAGATATATAATGGCAAAGTGCGAGATTTTTAATAAAAAATAATAAAACCGGATTAAATATACTATACACGTAAAAATTACACTTACCAGTGTTAATTTTCGGGATTAATCTGGAGGATTTGCTAACAATTATTCCCGGTTGCAATACGTCCCTTTTTAGAAATATCCTTAATTATAGAATATAAGAATAAAAAAATATATAATTAATCTTAATTATAATGCTAACCGACGTTATACAATCAGTCTCGAATCATCCGGGATTGGAAGCTGATTGTAACAAAATATTATTGAAATAGTAGTGGGTTTCGCGATAGTGAGGATAATGATGACGATAGAGGCGGACGGGCTTCGAATTAAGAACAAAACATGCCAAATGCATTTAAGTAGATTATTTTGTATCGAATGTTTGCGTAAGTTTAGCTGTAGGTAAAACGCATATAAATGAAGTGTTCTATCAATCGATTCGGTTCCATGACGCGAAACAAATTTTATGAGATAAAAATTAATTTTGACAATTTTTAATTGTGCTTGTTTATATTATTGATTGCATATTTCGTTTTAAATTAAATTCATCTTAAATAGGAATGCGACTTTAGACTAAAAGATATATTTTGAATAATTTCCTGGTGGATGAAATGTAAAATCGAAAGAGAATTGAGAAGTAGTAAGAGAGGAGTTAAAAATTTAGGGATGCTAAACTTTTCAATTTTAAAAAGACGCGAGTGATTGATATTAATAACACAAGAATTTTCACAGACAAAGGGCGATGAATTAGGCGATTTTTTGAAATGGTGCGTAAATGTAATGCATATTAAACTTGTGCTCAAGAAAGGATGATAAGATAATTATTTTTGTAAAGGGACCGCGAAATTATATTTTATCAATAAAATATGACACTGATAAATTGACGAACAAGTGCATGCACTGCAAAAAGGAAAGAAATATGACTATAATTAAAATTATTTTTATAGACGTTGATAAAATGAACACAAGAATTGACAGAATTATTTTTATCAAGTTAGTATGTGAAAAGTATACTTAATTTGAAATTAAGTTTACTAAATTAGCGAAAAGTACATGTTTTTGTGAAAATGATTATGCTTACGATAATTATGCATACAACACGTATCAATTTCATAGAGGTGCGCACAAAATTACTTTTTCATTTTCATATCTTTTATAGCTTATGAAATATATATCGATATGTTTCAATTCTAGATTTAAACAGTTGAGAGCGCAAATATTTTAAATTTAAATTATATTGAAATTAGAACAAAGTACAAAATAATTTTTGAATTTTTGGAAATTCGAAAAATAATAAAGAGATAAAAAAAGATTACTCAGCAATATTAGAAAGTAAATTTTTCTGGAGGATATAAAGATTCTGTCAAATCTTTCTTGACTCAATTTAATTAAGAGAATCGTCAATATTATTGTAACATCGCGCTCTTTGTCACTCGATTCTTAATAATCTATGGTCTCATTTTGCTGCACTGATTTTCCGATTACGATTTTTGTAACGCGATTGTGTGATATCTGTGGACAAATTATATATATATAATTGTGTTGACATGTGTAAGACTCGGTTATTCGTGAAATAATAGAAATAGTGTCGTTACTGTGATTTGTTCGCTCGTCATTTGTTTACTCGCGGAATTCCAACTTTTAGAATTTATACTCGCGAGTTTCTTAATAATTGATAATTAGTATTTTTTTGTTCCTTGTTCTCGTTTCTTGTTTCGTTGTTTTGTCCTTAATATCGTAATAAGCACACCGTGCGCGATTTATAGTAGTCTTAAACGTGATTCACGCCAAATATTAAGATGCATACATATTGTGACTCTAGCTATTTATATTATATTTTATTATTTTATTATTATTATTATTATTGTTATTACACATATATAAATATAAATATGGTATTCGCACAAAGGCAGGGCTCGTATTGATATGACGCGACTTTCTATTTGTTAATAAGCTGTATCTGTTTGAATCGCGATTTGCAGACACAAAATTTAAAAAAAATGCAACGTTTTTCGTCAACATGTCAGGTTTACGATATTAAATTCGGGTTTATTTTTTCAAAATACATACTCTGTACAAATATGAATCAAATGTTTTAATAACTCGTAAGTCTTTCATGTAAAACACGTTTCAATGTATGAATGCCGATTAATTTTAATTACGCAGTTAATCGGAATTTAGCGAAATGTATTCAATAAATTTGTGAAATAATTAATATATAATTGTGAACATTATAATTTCTCTTTAATATGTTTAAAAAATTTTTGTTTGACGTTATAATTTTCAATAGAATTAAATGTTTGAATTATATGTAACTCTTTACTTTGTTGGATTTATCGAGATAAAATTATGGTAATTTTTTGCATTTCTAGTGTATATTAGCAAGCGAATATGTCACAACATATATTACGTGTGCAATAGACTGTATCAATTCGCATGCAATGTTCCAGGGCATTCAAGAGAGAATTTATACTTTATTAATATTTCAATTATTCAAGATTATTAATTAACACGCACACATACATATACATCACCACACACACACACATACACACATAAATGCATTCGCAAATATATTTAATGTACTGCCACAAAGCTTATTATACTTATATTGAAAAATATAATTACAGAATTTCACATGTTCACTGCATCTTGCGTGTATAAATATCTATTTGCAATATTCCAATTATTCTTTTTGTCATTTCCACGTTGATTTACTACATAAGATTTCCCAAAATCATCGAATATGCTCTTATATATAATAAGTTAGGTAAATAATAATTTAGATAAATAATAATAAACTTTCGAAATTGTCTGTTTTATCCGATTAATATTGTATTATACATTATTCAATTATACATACATATTGAAGCATCAAGTAGTTTAAAACATGCATTGAAATAAGATGTATATATTTTAATAACATATATGTGTTTGACATTATATTTAATCGAAATTATAATCTAAGATTATAAAATCGTTTATAAATTCGTTTGCAATATGCAATCAACCTAATTACATTGGGAGAAATTACAAATCGATTAGAGATTATGCTCAGATTTTGAGAATATTCAGGAGTAATAAAATAATGTACAAAATTTTATACACTTTGCTAATGTTTTAACATGTTCCACTAGAAATTTTGAGAATAAGAACATACCTCTTTCGATAATACTACTAAAGGTATAATTTCACATGCCGTTAAAACGAACAATGGTTAGAGATTATAACGTGTGCTTTCAAGGTTTCAAGTATAAATTTCATTCACATATATCAGTTCTTTCAAGAGCACTTTTGGCAAGAGCATTTTTGGTGGTACTTTAAATTCAATTCAATTCACTTTTCCAACCTATATAAAATGTAAAATTTGGCTTTCATGTACAAAAGTTGATTTGTGAAATTGAATAATCGGCTTTCGTTTCGAATTTCGAATGACGAATGACGGATCTAAACATCAGGGCTGCGTTCGGAAACATGACTCGTGTGCACACGAGCGTCGTTCTATCTTTGTTATTTACTAAAAGTTGAACAAAGATAGAACGATGCTCGAGTGCTGTTTTCGAACGTACCGCAGTAGTGGGATTCAATAACTTGCTATCGACAATTTTCGGTATCGTTAACTTGCGACAGCCAATGGCAAGGACAATCCTGGTGAAAAGCGCAACTCTCATAGGCTATCGTTCGCTAACGACAATGGTCTAGTTTCCACCGTAAGTATCAATTCGCATCTAGCGCGGCGTAGGACTAAATTTAAGTCGATGGAAACGTTAAATTCGATGCGCACCGAAACAGAATCGGACCGTTGACTTCGGCGGTCCTACGCCGCGCTAGATGCGAATTAATACTTCGGTGGAAACTAGACCAACGATAATTGTCGCTAACAATAAGACGTTATGCCCGTATCAGACTACGCATTGAAAATTGAAGATTGAAAATTAAAGATTGGAATTTGACTAATCAGAACAAAAAGGACTAAAATTTCTTTATTCTGATTGGTCAAATTTCAATCTTGAATCTTGAATCTCAATCTTCAGTGCGTAGTCTGATACGGGCTTTAGAGAATCCCGCTACTGGGTATTGATCATGTAACTTTTCCCCTAGGGCGGAAAAGCGAAAAGTGAAAAATTTTGCCATTAATTTCAATGCTAATATTTTTCATTTTTCACGTTTCCGCCCTAGGGAAAAAGTTACATGATCGGTATCCTGATTGATTATGTACATATATAAAGACTAATTATAAACAATTAGATCTGAACCCAATGCATTCAAAACTCTGGAATCTGGAAATGTGAAAAGTGGAAAATATTACCATTGAAATTGATGGTAAAGGGCGTTTTCCAGCAAGGTACACAGACGACACAGTGTATTACACATTATCACATGATTGGCTGTCAAATGAAGAAATTTAAAATATAGCCAATCGAGTGATAATGTGTAGTACACTGTGTCGTCTGTGTACGCTGGAAAACGCCCAAAATTTTTCACTTTTCGTGTTCCGCCCTAGAGGAAAAGTTACATGATCGATAAGGTCGAGACGACGCTAGAGATGCTTCGACACGTTTGATTGACCAATCAGAACAAAGAGAGTAAGATTTCCTTATCCTGATTGGTTATTGCCTTGAATTTTATTCGACTAATCAGAGTAAAGAAATCTTTGTCTCTTGTCCGAATCCAGAGATAGATCCCTACATGTTTCCATAGATCCCTTTCTATAGATTTCTAGCATTAGTTGGCAACAGTGGATACTATTAAGCGAGACGCCTGTACAAAGCTTCAGCTGTATCCTTTCTCGTTCATGGCTCGTGGCATGATTTAAACATCGTTAGGATGAAGGTGAGAATCCGCGAATATTTCAGGAATCTCGCGTCCATGGCGTAAAATATAGATTTTTTTCGATGTACTGAAGTATTGTGGATGCTATGATGTTTGTATATTAGTTAAAATTATATTTATATACACGTAGTGCCGATTATAAATAACTGCGGTATCAGACGACGTCAAGTAAAACATTGCATCGTTTTACTTTACATTAAGTCATGATTACAACGTGTCTCTTTTATCACTGTATACCTTATAATTCGTAAAATTAATATGCCGCTTTTTTTTTGTTGATATAATGTTCTTTTCGTAATAAAAATAATTTTTACCTAACCTCGATTAAAAAATCTATGTACATTTTTCCTAACTCGTGTATGCATTCGATTGTTACAGCTGAACGTATCGTTTCCCGCGACAGGATGTCAAAAGTTATTCGAAATCTCGGACGAGCACAAGCTCAGAATTTTCTACGAGAAACGCATGGGTGCTGAGGTCGAAGCCGATGCGTTGGGAGATGAATGGAAGGGCTATGTAGTTCGCATCTCTGGTGGTAACGACAAGCAAGGCTTCCCCATGAAGCAGGGTGTACTGACAAACGGCGAGTTGATATGTTTATTTTACATTTGTCTATTAACACACACATATATATATTATATATATATATATATATATATACACACCAAAGATATTCTATAAGAAAACAGTAAACTAAACTTATGGTTTACATATAGTTTATTGTCCCCTTGATAGAAATCTCGACATATTTACAATCCTTCTGAAGCTGTATAAAATTGTAAGTTTATGTATTTATATTTTAATTAATACAACGTGATATATTATTTATTTATAGGCCGTGTACGTTTACTGCTGTCAAAGGGACAT